GGTGGGCTGCAATTTGTTTTAAATTTAAGGGTAATTTTGTTCAAAAAGTTATTTAATTGGGGGGACATAGTAAAAGCTATATTTATGTAAATAAATTTAAAAATAAGGGCATTATTGTCCTAAAATTTTATTAATAAGGGATAGAATTGTAACAAAAAAAGATAACCTTGGTAATCTTAGAATACCTAAGAAAATGGAGGTAATCAAGTTACCTCCAATATTATCAATAGCAACCACTATTGGTATTTAAAGATTACCGGTATCTTATATTACTTGACAACCAAACATGGTAATCAAGTAATATAAGATGACTTAACCCTAGTAATCTCACATAACCCCTAACCAAATGGCCCCTAAAGACTACTAGGATTCTTTAGGAAAATGTGTTTGGTTAATTGGTGGGTATGTTATATTAATATGTTTGGTTGGAGGAATAAATTGGTGGGTATGTTATTTAAATTACTGAATTGTCCTTTAATTAAATATTATTATTATATTATTTTTAATATTGATTATTATTTGGATTATTGTAACCCCATGTATTTAAAAACTTAGCAAAAACAACCCCATAATAAAAGTTTGGAAAATCAACAAAGCACCCCCACCAACCCAGCCATTGCTGGCCGCCGGCAACCACCGCAAGATGCCTGCAGCCGACAACCTAGCAGGGTACAGAAGGTGGGAAATGGCCTTTGTGTGCCGTATGACCATTTTCGGCCAGATATCTGGTCGAAAAAGGCCAGACTTGATAGATTTGGCCGTTGACGGCCAAATCAACGGATTTAGCTTTTAAAGGCCAAATCTGGCACGATCTGGCCATTTCCAGCTAGATATCGGCACACGACGGCCATTTTCGGCCTTTTGTGCACCGTTCCGACTACGGTGGTGGCGGTGGTTGTCAGTAGCAGTCGGTGGCAGGTGTAGGCATGGTAATGGGGCGGGCCGGGCCAAGGATCTCATTCACCGTACCCATCCCCACCCTCAAAATTACTCCCCACCCCTGCCCCATCCTCGTTACGGGGATGATAGAAATTCCCCTTCCCCGCCCCAAAGGGGAATGTGGGAGGCCCGTCCCTGCCTTATTAATTTTACATAAACATAAATTAATTTGAGCATTACCAAACATAATAGTTAATTCTCGTTTACATAACAAACACTTAAATTAATCGTTTAAACATATGGAATTTTACATAAATATGGGTTAGAGTTTGTTCTTGTTCAATTGTTTAGGGTGAGGGAAATGGGAAAAATATGGGTTTATATATTATATACGGGACGGAGTGGGGGAAATGCATCACCCACCCCGACCCTATCCCCGAGGACAGGGATTAAAACGCCCCCCACCCCCACCCTTTGTCCCTGGAAAAACCGGGGCTTCCCCGCCCCATATAGGGCAGGGCGGGATGGGTCATTGGAATTTCAGGGAACATTGCCATGCTTAGGCAGGTGGGTGGGGGTGGTGGCTTGGGTGGGCTGCAATTTGTTTTGAATTCAAGGGTAATTTTGTCCAAAAAGTTAATTAATTGGGGTGAAATAGTAAAAACCATATTCATGTAAATAAATTTAAAAATAAGGGCATTATTGTCCTAAAATTTTATTAATAAGAGATAGAATTGTAACAAAAAAAAAAAAAAATTACTTTGGTAATCTTATAATACTTAAGAAAATGGAAGTAATCAGATTACCTCAAATATTACCAACAATAATTACTATTAGTATTTGAAGATTACCGGAATCTTATATTATTTGACAACCAAACATGGTAATCAAATAATATAAGATGACATAATTCGAGTAATCCTATATTATCCCCAACCAAACGCCCCCTCATAGTAATCCAATAGGTTCTTGATGGCTATTGTTAATTAAAATAATATAATTATGTAGATATTTAAAATAAAAGATAATTAAATAGAATTTGGGGAGGATTTTCATAAGACAAAATATATATTATAGTATTTTTCTTAAAAAAAAAAAAGTTCAAATTTCAATAACATTCGTTAAACATCTAGCTGTATTTGTCACTTTCAGATTGTATTGGGTTAGATACTAGTCACTATAAACCTGATCAATGAAAATGTCTTCATCCTTTGCAAATTACAACTCGAGTTAGTATTGCCCAGCTAGTGGCCAGTGGCCAGTGGTCCAGTGCTAATATCTAAACAGAAGAAGAAGATTCCAATATCAGAAAGGTCGGATAATATGGTGACCCTCAATCTATAGCAAATTACATTTTCGCCCTTAATTTCAGAACGACCCATATTGTCCCCAAAGTTATCCCCATCCATCTCATTTTCTATTTCACCGTTAAAATTCTAGTTTCACCATTCTTTTTCATTATTAGAAGAATCAATATTTTTAAATTTAATAATAAAAAATTTATGGAAAATAAAATTTACTAAAAAAAATTAGAAAAAATAAAAAACCAATCCTAAATAGTCCATCCAAAATCATAGCCAAATTAGTAAAAATCCCTATACTCAATTAATCAAAACAAATCCTAAATTAATTCCTAATCAACCAAAATAAAATTTCACCGACACCTCTACTCTCATCACCAATTTTGAGACATTCTAGAATTTATTAGGCTTCGATTGTTTCGCTTTTGGGAATACTATTATTAGTATTCCCAAAAAAGTTAAATAGTAAAATGTTATTATTCCCAAAATATTATTCTATATTTTTTAATTTCTTTTAAACATCCTAAATTTGTTAATTTAATTAAACACCCCCAAATATTTTTTTTAGAAATTGCAAAACTACTCCAGCCACCCTCCGGCGGTGGTGGCCGACTGTCTGTATTTAATGGTTGGGTTGGGGGTGTTTTTGTTAACTTTTAATATTTTATTATGAGGGTGTTTAGTAAATAAACAAATATAGGGGATATTTTTGTTAATTTCCAAATCCTACATTGTAATACCCGCCCGATTTAACTTTTTTTAAAAGATTATTCTAAAAACTATCAGAATAATGAACCAAACGGAGAGTGTTTAGTTGATGGATTATAGTCTTTGAGTTAGGTGTTAGGTTTTCTGTTTATATAATGAGGTAAAATGACAAGATGATCCTTTTACAGGTAACTTTAACGTATGAATTCTCAAAAAGAGGGTGACATAGAATGCTTGCAAAACCAAAGGTGGGAAATTTTACTGTGATAGGTTGGGGTTCAAATTGTTATTTGGCCATATCAGAAATAAATTAATCCAAATTCCAAACAATTCCTTATCCTGAATCATGATATTTTTTTTGTCATTTGTTTAACTATTTTGAGTAGTATTCTTGAAATATTATTATAAAATTAAGTTGAGTTATTATTGCGATAATAGCATTTGAAAAAAGATGTGTTTGATAGAGTATTTAGTTGAGTTATTATTATGAAAATATGATTTGCTGTTTGATAAAATATTTAAGATAATATATTAGAGTTGAATAAATTGTAGAAAAATTATTTGGTATATTTTTTTTATAAAAGATTTATTGATAGAATTCTTTATGGGGGGAGAGGGGGTGACTGTGATCGTACCTATTGGCCTCGGTTTGTCAGAGGAAACCGAAAGATGGTGGTGTTTCTTGAGTCTAAGCGACGGAAGAAGATGTTTTTGGGTGGTGTTTTTGAATGCAGGTGAAAGAGGGTGTTATGGTGGTTGTAATCAGGAAGAGGGTGGTGGTTTCTGTTGTAATTTTTAAAGAAGAAATGTAAAAGAGGGTGGTGGTCGCTTGTTCTGATCTTCGAAGAAGAAGGTGAAAGTTTTGGTATACGAAGGTGAAAGCCGTAGATAAACTGAAGAAGGAGAGAAAAGCGTAGCTTAAATCAGACTAGTTAGAAATTAAGTTTTTAAAGAGTAAACGACATATTCCCACCCAAGGTTTGACAAAATCCTAAGTTAGTACCATATGTTCCATTTATTCCAGATTCCCACCCTTAAAGTAAAAGTGTTATGAATTTTTAGAGTTTAGAGGGTGCAATTACCATAATGCCCTTAACCCTAAATTAATAAATTATGTTTTAACCCCTAAATTAGTAGAATTATAACTTACCATTTTATTTTCAAATTATATCAAAAACACCCTCGTCGGAAATAGCCCGATTTGGGCTATTTCCGACGACGTCGAACCCCCTGGTCACCTCTATCACCTTCCCCGTAGTCCGTCGTCCAAAACCCCTTTGGTTCCCGACTCGTTTGCCCTTCCAATTGCCGGCGCCGTTAGGCTTAAGGTTTCGGTGTTCTTCACCAGATTCTGGTCGATTCCGGCGGCGAAAATCCAATTGGACACCACCAATGCAACCACCGTCTCTAAATCTATAAAACCCCTATGTCCCCAGCAACCATTTCGTCATCATTCGCCAGCCGAGAGTTCTTGTTCATTGACTGCTTTTCGATGAAGTGGTGGACGACAAACAGTGAGCTACTGTGGCTAGAAAGGTTAGGGGTTTTGTAGGGGAGGATGCGAGGAGTCAAATAGTGGTGACAAGGGTGATTTTGGATGGAAGAATCTCCGAAAAAAGAGCAAAAAATGTCGGGAATACCGACTGCTAATGTGCGCCGGAGGACTGTTACAAGCGGTGGTCTGCTAACATGCGCCGCCCATGTAAAATGACTAATTTACTCCTTTATCATTATATCAAACTTTTTTCTGTCACTTTTAAGGGTAAAAATCTGAAATAAATAGAATCTGTGATACTAACTTGGGATTCGTGAAACCTTGGGTGAGAATATATTTACTCAATTTTTAAATAATTTGCCAAACGTACATTTTAAAAGCCTGACTGAAAAAATTAATAAAATACTGAGCCCAATACATCCTTTATTACCCTTTGTAATTCGTAACGCTCGTCAACGATGCCAACGTGGGCGGCCACCCACACAAAATTATTTGTATTGATGCTCAGCTGTCTCTTACCCAATGCCGGACTCCAAACTCACATTATATTACCACACTTCATAAAAGAAAAATAATAATTTATAAACCATTTCAATTCCGTCTCATAGAACAAATAAAAATAAACCCAGCCCAAACAAACCAAACATAACTTGACATAACGCAAACCAAATCCCACTGTTTTTGGTCCCTTTCCGTGTCGCCCCTTGTTCTCTGTTTGGCGGTTTTTAGCGATTCGGTTTCTAACATTTCCCGATTTTTTCTTACACACTCTCACTCCCTGTCGGTGAGGTGAGCTTTTTTTTTCCTATTTTTGTGCAATCTATTTTTAGATCTTTTGATTTTTATTTATTTATTTAGGTATATGTTTATGTTGGGAGCTGTAAGTTTCAGGTTTGGTAGATCGGAGAATCTAAGCTCGTTGAGTTGAATCTGAGCTAGTTGAGTTAGTTGATTGATGAATGAGGTAATCTTTTTTTTTGTTAATTTTTAGTTTTTGAAGTGGCTGTTTGGTTGCGTAGAAAATGAAGGAAAAGAAAAGAAAATTGAAGTCTATGGTTAATTATTTTGTGTTGTCTGTTTCTTATTTGCTTCTTTAGAGTGGATAAGCTTTACTCAGAGCCGTATTTTACGCAAAAAATTAAGAAAAAAAAAGCGCAAAGTGCGGTAAACAGCTGTATTAGGCCCACTTTAGGTTTTTATTTTATTTTTTTACTTTTGTCTTTTTATAAATATTTTATAATAAATTATTATTATTATTATTTTTTGAAATTTTTGCTTACAATTTCTCTCTCAAAAAGAGAAAGCTAAGTGTGATTTTATGTGGAGTTCTTCGGTTGATGTTTGGACTTAAAAGGCTGTTGTGCTTTACCTTCATTTCATGTTTGTGTTTTCTTTGTTGTTTTATTAATGTATGAGCTATTTCACCTAGGGCTTGTTTGGATGTTCGTTTTAATGTGATTTCTTTAGTCAAGCGAGTTGATTTTTTAACCATGAACGCGACTTCATGATACTTCTTGTGCAATGTATCTTGAGTTGGTTTTGGCTTGGTTTTGACTTTTAAAAGTATTACTAGTGAAAAATGAAGGGGGTACGAGCTGCATTATGGTTATAGAGATGTTGATATCTCAATAAAGAGAAAAAAGATCAAATTTCACTGCATTGGCAACAAGATATACAAATATGATAAATAAGGAAAGTGAATTATCGAGTGAAAGACTGAGGTAGATTTGGTCAAACTCTGGTTGAGGCCATTTCCTTTGCTAAATAAGTTGGCAAGTGCCATCAAGCTGTGGACACATAATTTTTTTTTTCCATTGCTTCTGTTTTTTAGTCTGTATTTGCACAATTTTCTCATGATTGTTTTTGTCATGATGTCATGGAAGGATCAAGTGTCTGTATAATTTGTTCCCCTAGGTGTATTGTCTTGTAATAATGGTGAACAGTAATTTTATCAATATTCCTTTTTTACTCTATGATAGGGAACATGAACAAGTTGGTCCATTGCTGGCTTATGAGTTAGGAGCATAGCATGAAATGGACAAAGGACCACATGTGCATGAGAAGTTTGCCAACATGAAGAGCCAAAGGGTGAGAATATCCTTTTTATTGCAAATTGTTTCCACTGTATAACTATCATTCACTCAAATGCTTAGATTGTATTATCATACTACGCTTTAGCCATAACTTTTCATGCTACTTTCAGATGTGGAATTCAAGGATGCGTTATGTTGTTTCTTTTGATTTTTCTTTATAACAGTACTATTGGAAAAAGGGGTGAACCATCATAAGTTAAATGTTATAGGAAAGTCTTTATTGTTCACTTTTATTGAATATGCACACATCTTATGATCAAAGCAGGTGTATTTTTGATGGGACTTGGATAATGAGGGTGTCGGAAAAGTGAAATAAGATAACAAGTAGCGGATTGAGGGGGTGTTGGCATGAAACTTCCATGGGTTTAGGCTAGGACAGGTGACGATGGGGGGTTGGGACAGCAAAGGAATTCAGTTAGGGGGGGAGAGAGAGAGAGAGAGCTGGAGGATAAAAAGAGGGGGAGAGAGCAGATTAGGGCAGAAAAAGATAGGGAAATTTGGGAGGAGCTAACCCTTGAAGTTAGCAATTAGGGAGGAGCTGGCCCTCGAAGTCCAGCATGTCTATGTCCATTTTTGTCATCCTTTTACTGTTTTTTTGGTTGTGTTAATTTTCTTTTTTGGTTGTTCTTGTCTGATACAGTTCTTGTATATATCAATATACTTATCATCTTTCTGGGTTTTGGCTGTGCCTTACACCGTTTTGCTGCTTTTTGCTATTTTGGTTTGTTGTGGAATTGTTGCTTGGTTCAGTTGTGGAAGAGGGTTCCATCAATTTTCTTTTTTTAATTTGTGTTTTTCTTGTTTGATATACAAGGCATATGCCAGCCTGGATCTCTTCTCTGCAAAATAATGTTCTCTTTGTCTTGCCTTTTCATCAATTCTTGTATTATGCATGGAGAAAAATCCAACCTCTTATGGACTTGTCAACTATTACTGGTCTTTGTTTTTAATTAAATTAGTTTTTACTTATTTAAAATTAAGGTGGTGAGAGATTTTCTGCTTTTTGTCTTGAAGAGAAATGAATTCTAGCTTTCTGTTTGTTTTCTATTGTTTGGATGAAGCTGCATGATTTGTGGTGATAACATACTGCTAATTGAATATAAACCTTGATCCATTCCTTGGGAGAAAGCTAAAATTTCAATTCTCATGGGTTATGAAGATTGAACTTGTACTAAGCTTGATTTATGTGTCACCATTGTTCGTCTTATGAGAGTAGTATACTTGAATCTTTTTTGGGGTTTTTCCTTATACTTTTATTGCTTATTTTCTTTAAGCAGGCTTTTAAATCCATGACTTTTCCACAAATTTTCAGTCATAATCTTGTTAGTTAATTGTGTCTCCAATTTTTCTTTATTCTATATTAGCCCTTAAATTGTAGAATCAAGTTGTTAGTTAGAACAATATTTAGTGCCTGCCCCACTGATTCAAGTGATATCAATTCTTTTAGTTTTAGTTGTAAGCTAGAACGATAAATGGCCTTGCTACCCCAGTGATCCAAGTGGTATAAGAGCTTTTACCTTTGCCAAACAACTTGTACATACATCTGCTTAGCCATCCACACTGTCATATTGTTTATTAACTTTCAACCCTTTTTGTCCGTCTTGCGTACTGCATAATGTGAGTAAGGTCCTTGATTTTGTCTTCTCATAGTTGTTACAATTTTTTTAATCACTAGTTACACATCATCCCCTCTTTGCCAGCTCTTGTTTGGTTTGGAACATTTGAGTTTGTCATACTTTCCTTCTGGACTTTGAACAGGATGATTTGTTCAAGGCAACGTGTATGGTGTGTCTTTTCCTATTTTCGTAGTTTCTTGTGCTATAATGTAATTGTAATGTATGTTGATGCTAGATCCTTATGATTTTAATAGTGGACTATAGGCATGTGCCTTGGCGCTGTTTGAAGTCTTTTGCTATGAATTCTGCTCTATCGTGAATAAATTCTGTTTGTAGGTGTCTTGGGAATTAGTTTTTCTCATGACTTTTGGGTTCATAATGTGGTCGAGTTTTCTTTAATTTTGATTGTTCTATTTAAAATCTTTGTCTACTTTAAACTTTTTCACTTGCTAACTTTCCTTGAATACTCTTGTATTTTCTGGGATTTTTTTTTATTAAAAGAATTGGTGTTGTTTTTTCTTAGGTAAAGGTAGAAGAACCTTTTGCTCCTGCATTAGAAGATGAAGCAGCTGAAGTTTCCAATTTACTTGCTGAACCTAAAACTGACCATGTTTCAGTCGATGGTGTCCTATGTTTTGGTAAGGAGAATCCAGGGAAATGCTTGGACATGGAGGATTTTACCTATGGATTCGAGTATGGCTTCAGAACAAATTATGGTAATGCTCAAATGGTTCTTGTTTTGTTTCTTTAGTTGGTACAATTGATCAAATATATAATGAGTCTGTATTTGGACAAGAGCAACGCCTTAGTTTAAGTTTAGACGATTGACTACTGTGTTTGTCATGAGGACGAATCTCAACATTGAAAGAATGTTGAGATCGTGTTATTAGTCTTCTTTGCATTGCCCAGACTGATATTGTGAGCACTCTCTTCCCACGAGGAGAAGAAAAATAACATAATGAAAAAGGATGGAGAGATGGAGAACATGCGCATGTGCACACAACAGGTGTTTTGGAAAGGGCTAGTGGTACCCCAAACCCTGCTGCCTTGGGCAACAGAAGTGCTTGAAACTACTTAAACTCACATTGAGTGAGGATGGACAAATCTGTTGTTACCCAACCATCTATGTGGTGGTATGTGGTTAGAATGAATACATTATTATTTGATCATTTGGAGTTTTGAACTAATATGTTGTTGTGCTATGGGTTTGTAATTAACATGTTAAAGTATCTGCCTTAGTAGCTATAAATAAGCAGTAGAATTTGGAAATTTCCAAGTTTTGATAGAAGTCGAGTAGATGTAGATAATGACATATCAGATTCAAGTTCTTCTTTCTCTTGATAGTCCTAAGTATGTTGGTGATGGGTACCATGTTCAAATTGGAGGCTATTGCATTACCTATGGTTTGGAAGGATTTGAAAGGAAAGTAGATAGCCCTGGGGGGAACAAGCTAGAACAGTGAAGTCAATGACTTGTTTGACGGAAAGCCAGGGACACCCAGGACTTCAACATCATTAGTCATAACTCTTAACTGTGCCTTGGAAAAGCTTTAAAGAGCATGGTGTACTCATGCCTCTTCCCCCATCTCTGCCACCTGATCCTCCCCAGTTTATATAACATTCTACGTAGTTGGCCCCATATTTTTTGAACCTTGGACCTCATAGTCATATCATTTCTCTGCATCTTACTCACCTTAGGGTTATCAAAGTAGAGTATTCAAATATTTGCTCATATATTTAGTGTACATTTATACATAGATGCATTTGATATGAAAATATAAACATTGGTTGATGTTATGTTTAACATGAAGTGCTGGTTTGTGGTATGTGGTTGTTCCTTAGTTTCTCTATTTGTTTTTCCCATCTGTAATACTGGTTATTTTTTGTGATCCTTGGTAAGGTGGGCTGGATTCTTTTAATACTCCCGGAGAAGATGATTTGAAGCTTGAAGTATGTATCTATCTTTATTTAGGTTTTAATGTCAGGATTAGTTACTATGATAAACATCCTTATCAAAATATTATTGTTCTGTACTCTTTTCCCTTTGCAAAAGTCACTTTCTCTTATCAGTTATTGCTGATCAGATGCGGTTTCCATTGTTGATGACTACAACCATTTTTTACATCTGCACTTTGCATCACTCATTTGGTTTTTTGCCAGTTGCTTCTCATTTCAGGGTTGATAATATTTTGTGCAACATGTATATTTTTCAGTCTGTGATTTTGATATGATCAGATAATGATCTACCAGGTTCTTGATGGATTGCTTGATGATGTTGATGAGGTGGATGATATTCATGCAGCACATGATCTCTCTAGCGTATGTGAAGATTTTCTTTTGGGTAAATCTCGTGGCTGTCTTTTGTGGTTGTCGGTTATGATACTTCAACTGAATACAATGATTTTTTTTTTTTTTTTTTTTTTTTCCGTACAGATATTGAATTTACTGAACAAGTTACCAAATTGGATTGTGGTGAAATTAAAGGACCGCATTTAGGTAACTCAAGTTCTGAAAGCCATTCTCCAGGCCTCAGCGGTAGTAGTAATGTCGCTATTGGGATATCTGATTCGTCAACAACAACTGTTCCAGAATCTGAATGCAAGAATGATTCACTCACCAAGATGATCACCTGTGAGCTACATAGTATCAGTAAAAGTGAATGTGAGTGTGAAGTTCCAATTGAGGACAACGAGGACCCTAGTTCTCCTGATGTGCTTAAATTTGATGAGTTGGATAACGATGACAATTGTTTATTAAGTAGCATATTGTCTAAGTGTAAGAAGAGGGCAAAGAGCTCTTCTCTAGGAACCAAAGTTAAGCGATCGCGTAAACCCACTCAGAGATACATTGAAGAATTTTCAGATCAGAAGTCGAGATCTGTATTGGATGGACAAAAAGTTTCGGCTCCTGCATTGAAGGATAAACGCTTGAAAGTCAAATCATGTAATGAGTCTTCTAATCAATGTAGCACTCAAGTACCATCAGCATCACGGTTAAGAGGAGGATGTCTAAAGAAACGTGCACCCGTAACGGTATGGAAAGTTCTCATCTTAACTTTTTATTATTATTATTTTTTTTTTAGAAAAGATTCTGCCTTTCTTCCATTGAAACAGAGGGTTTTGGGAAGTACTTTAATTATTTGTTCTGCTATCTGTGTGTCCAATGATGTGTGTTCCTTTGTGCATGTTTGTATGTTTCCATAGCTTAATTGGGTTTATATATATCTTCATTTGAGATAGTGTGGCAATGATCCTTCAAAATGGAGTGAAGAAGAATTATACTTTGCTACTAACTTTTAGAGCAATGCCCTTTTCACTAGGAAATGGGGTGAGAAATATCAAGTATATAGCTACGGTTACAGAAGTTATATGCTGTGCTTGTCAATAATATACCCTGCACCCTTCTATGACAAGTTTCTTTTCCCTGCATGTTGGTGGGTTGTTATTCTCCTTTTAATTCTTGTGTATGAATGTTCTGTTCCTGGCCATCTGATCCTTCACTGCTGCTTAAGCTGTAACTTCTTTACAAATTTATCTATTGTTTACGTGAAAAATCAGATGTCTGCATTTAGTGGTAGGAAAAAGGTGATAAAGAATTTGCATAAATGACGTGAAATTTAGTTGACAAATCATTTTTTTCCTGTGATACCTTCAAATATTTGAAAATTTTCTGTGCTTTTGCTGTGCAGGGATTTGAATCTGATGACGATCTTGATGCATCCGAGTCTGATGACGATCATGTGAGAAAGAAAAAAACTAAAGTAGATGTTGATCGGAGGAAGCATCAAAGGATGTGGACTCTTTCTGAGGTGATGAAGCTGATTGATGGTATAGCTCAATATGGAGTTGGAAGATGGACTGACATAAAAAGGCTCTTGTTTCCATCATCTGCTCACCGCACGCCAATAGATCTGAGGGTACTGTCCCTTTGCTTTATCTAGTTGAACAATTCCTCAAATTTCAAGTTGAAAAGTTTATGACTGGTTAAGTCTGCAGGACAAATGGCGAAATCTTCTAAGAGCTAGCTGTGCACAGAAGAAAAACAAGAAAGAGGTTAGATTTCTATTATATTTTAGTGGGAACTTTGATATTTGCTTCTTATGGATGGATTCATGTTCAATTTGTTCTACAAATTCTTTCTTATAATTTTACTCTCAGATTATTGAGAGATCATTGTTCCTATTTTGGAAACTTATGAAGTACATGAATTTCAATTTTGAATTTTCACTTTGCAATGAAGTTGGGAATTTTTGTTACAATGAAGCATGGACATTATGTATTCGTGTCGCGGGTAGAGGTTATGAATTTGCTGTAACTGTTTTTAAAATGCACCTGATTTACCAGTTCAGCAGTGGCTGATCAAATGAGTTCATGGTTCACTAAAAGTCTGAAAAACAGCATTTTACAATTTGTTTCTTGAATATCACTATATGAGTGTAAATGTCAAACATGATCTCCTGGGGACTATATCCTATGCTGTAGTATATAATAGGGCTCGGTGATTCAACAATTCTTGTCTCATGTGGTCCTCAGCTTAAGGTGTTAAACAAGTTTGACAGTTAGACACGCCTGTGACATTATTTCTATAGGTTTGTATGGATAGAAATGTTTTAAACTTACATACTGAGATGTTATAATATCAATAGAAATTTGTTTGTTACATGTATGAACTCCTTTGAATGTCATGCACATGGCACTAGCCTGAAATCTGTATCTTTTGTATTTTGAAGTGTATCATCATCTTTAAATCATGTATGATAGCCTAGTTACTTTTTTCATAACAAGTGGCAAGGATGGTATGCAACAGAGTGGTCCTAGGGATAACAACTTTAGATTGGTTGACAAAATGTCTCGTGTTGACATTGATGAACTTAAAATGGCTGAAACAGGTTGAGCAAAAGCATGTCGTACGGACTTTACCAAAGCCTGTGTTATGCCGAATTCTTGAACTGGCAACTATTCATCCGTATCCAAGAGTGCATAACTCAAAGACCTCATGCGATAACAATATTGCTTCACCCAAACTTCCTGCCAAAGCCAAAGGTGCGCAACCTAGCTCTTGTGGGAGAAATGTACGCAGGAAGAGGCATACATGAACGCCATTCATTTCAGTCGCAGTAAATCAGTCAGGAATTTTACAAAATTTAGTTGTAAAGAAACTATTGTGTTGCTTACAGTCTTTTTTTTAATCTTACCTTTCTTTTGTGAAATGCACATACACATGTTCTCAGATCTGTACTTTTCAGATATTAGGTTACAGAATCTGGAAAATGTTGCACAAGTGGGTCTAAAATTGTTAATTGTAACTGCCAGGGATATGGCCAGCTGATGTTGAAAGAGAAGTAGAGGTTCACTGACATAACGTTATTTCCTTGTGCATGATGTTTTGCTGCATTAACATGTAAAGTCCATAGAATGAAGCCGGCAGAAAAGTCGATTGAGATGATGTTATTTGTGGGTAATTGACGTGGGATTTTTAGGGAAGGAGAAGTAGAAGTTTATGGTATAGCAAATGAGTGGCTGGGTCAAAAGAATACTTCCATTCCGAATAACTTGGATATTAGAGAAGAGGTGGACGGTGATCCGTCTTATGTTAAAGAACTAAAGATTAATTTACATCTAATATGTTTGGAACTTTTACTCAACACATGAATTTTAGCAAAATAGGAAAACACATCTGTAAATTTTCTTCCATCAAATCAAACGTCTATCTTTTTCTAAGAAAGTAACTGATATTACCATTGTATTTGTGGCACATGACCTGATCACCCATATATGAAATACAAGTTTTATTTTTTCAGTTGAATAATCACCGTAATATTATTAGTAATAATAATAGATAGAAACTAGTTCATTGGATTATGATATGATTAACGCGATGTCCTATGCATGTTCACCTTAAACTTAAAAGACTTGTACAGTTACTGAAAGGAAAATTTCAAAATATGAACTGAACGAATCGCTAAAAAGTACTATTTTACTGTATTTATATATAAAATATCTTCAATGTAGCAGGTATATATAATACGTACACTCAGTTAAATACGTGTCTTGACCTGCATGTGTTAAATAGTTCGATGAGGGCACAAATTCTTTTTCCTTCATTTAATTTTCCAATTTCGTATAAAGACTTTTTTTTTTTTTTTTTTTTAAATAACCAGAGATGTTTAAGCTAGTTTATGTGTATCTCAAATAATCATTCGAAACCCTAGAACTATCAATCGAATAAAAACTTCAGTAACTACTCATATTAATATTCAATGAAGGAATCAAACTTAGAATCTTTTAAGTAATTTGTATAAAGACTTGTTTTACAGTTCAAGGTAGGTTATCTCTCTATTTAAACAATACTGTTGGATAATAAAAGTATAAAAAATTATAGTTATATGAAGCAAAGCCTACCTACCTCATTAATTATATTTATACAGGGAAATCCATAGTAAAAACAAAATCTGTTGTTATTCATGCACAAGTGGGTGAATGAATCAGCTACTATTGTAAAGATACAAACATTTATAAACAACTCACTTATCCTTCCCACTTCTCACAACACCTAGCTTTTGTTCATCACACACCAGAAAACTACAACACAAATTTCACACTTATTCACACCATTAATTCATCAATTTATCATAAAACATCCATATAATAATCCATGCGTGCATATATATATATATATAGCTGAGAATTACCCAGTTCCATCATCACTGTTATCACCACCGTTATCTCCTGGGCTCCCACTCTTGTCATTGTAATTTTGTCTAGGTATGCTATGGTGGTTGTCAATGGTTTTGCTTTTTCCAGGTTTCGCTTCCACAACTTTTCCCTTCTCGGCATGGTGCCGCTGCTCTTGTCCATATATCCGCCCAGAGCGGCTCTTCTCGGTGCCGCCAGACAGCAAGAGATCTCCATCATCACAACCACAAACAACAACACTAACACTGCAACCTTCATTTTTCTTTAATTCACAATATTATGTTTGTAGTACTGATACTGTTAATTTAAACAAACATTTGGGCCACATTTTATAGAGTGAGAATTATTATTAAGAATTGAATGATGGGATCTCCACCAATATGAGACAAGATTGAGCGGGGAGTCACATTATTTCAACTTAATTTTATTATAATTTGTTGGATGCTTTAATAGGGAAGTTCCACCTTTTGAGTGGAGTTTTTGTATGATAATTTTACTTATTAAAAGTCAATCAATCATAACATGGTTTTCCTATTTCGTTTATTGCCTTATGATGTCAACTCTTTTCTTTATTGTCACCTTTCATTTATACTATATTTAGGCTCCATTTTCCTGTTTGAGCAAAACCCTTTTATATTACATGTTTAAAACTGCTATTTGACTTTCTATAGCCTTCCATTCATCATTTTTTTTTTTTAAAGGTCTCCATACCCATATTGGAGTGTACTAATCTTCAAGGTCACAGAAAACCCTATAAATCCAACAGACCAAGGTAATTACACAAATGTGATAGATATATTTCTCTTGCGATTTGAACACAATATCCTCTTAGTATAATTAACCTCAAATACTAAAAAGTTTATCACCCAACCACGAGAGGATTGATTTTGTAATACAAAAACAAAAAGTTAATAATATTGAATTAACAGTATTCTTTTTGAGAAAAAAGAGTATACGCAATACCATAATTTATGTATATTTATTTTCTCTTTTATCTATCTAATTGAGGAATACTATCAACAATCGTTTGAACACTTACTCCAACACCTTCTCATATTAATGTCGATACACGTGTCTTAAAAGTTTTATTGCTTTATCCTCAACTTACTTCAATATTGTTAAAAATGGTGCGTAAGGAAACTCAACTTCATTGCACTAGCAATTGAAAATTGCTTGTGGTTGATGTTTAGAGTGACAACACTAGGCCTTTCAATGAGGCTTTGGAGGCCTGGCCAATAGATGGATAACAAGTGTCACTTTCCACTAAGATATAAAAACCCGGCCCAACTAACTTTAGTTGTGAGAGCAATGGCAAGTTGCCATTTCAATAATTTACTCAAAAATAAATGCCCATGTCAGTCTAAATCTAACTGTTAATTAAGCTGATTCAAATAGCTGCATCAAAAACATGGTAGGTATATCTATAAGTTAAGACAGATTCTAAATTTGGATCTTACATTCAACTTCAACTAACACGTTATTGCACTTTTTTTTTTGTTTTTATAAATAATACAGAGGATTCCTCGCTCTCGTACAAATGTTAAAAAGATTTTATGTTTATTGAAAAAAATAAAATATAAAACTATAAACGTAGTCATAATACAAATTGAAATGACACTACGGTGCGGAGTGAAAAAACCTCCCAAGAAACCGCATTGATCACAAGATCGATCCATAAGACAAGACTGAGATAGTTTGTGAAATTTTAAGTTACTAATGAATAAAAATCTCAAACTTGTAATAGCTCACTTGCTTAATCTGAAATGAGTTCATTTTCATTCTCTTCTGAATTGTAATAATGGATTGATTGCTTAATCTAAAATAAGTTCATTTTTATTCTCTTTTAGATGTGATTGAAGAATTTTAAGCTGTCTCAAACTTTATATAAGCTTTATTCAACTACTTAAAACATCTTACTAAATACCAACCCCAAAGGGTTGGTTTTGCGGTCAAAGAAAATTTGCCAATTTCTTTGAGTTTCTAAGTTTAAATCTTAAGCTACGTACAACAATAATATTGTGATTTTCCTCATTTTTTAGACTTTCCAAATGTTTAATAGACTTTGAGGATTGTTAAGATGTGTACAAATTGGCCCGAACACCTCACACGGTTACCCAAAAAAAAAAAAAAATCAAACTAAATACCTCTCACAAATGCATAATGTTCATAACCTTTTTCTTTCTTTTAAATAATTAGACCTTTTTCTTTCTTTTAAATAATTAGAATCGACAACTAAAAGTTAAAGATATTACAAAATTTCAAGAGAGAGTTCTGATGAGAACCTATATATGTATGAGTATATCACCACAAATATGTAGGAAACACCCTTGATTATAGCACATTAAACTAAATTGGACCGTTGTCATAAACATTAATTTATAATCAAATGACTTAGTTGGTAATTTGCTCAAAATGCACAAAGATAATTGAGTCCAGCTGGAAATAATGTAAGTTAGTGACATTGAAATCAGCATAACAAAATCAGGCAGATACATGCAATATATACTCAAAACTCAAACAATCGAAAGTGATCAGAAGCAGTTTGCAGATGAATATTGGTGGTTAGGAGAATTATCATCAATAAAAATAAAAGAAAAGCAAACGGGCGAATCTAAGCCAATGCTTCCCAAGAGGAAGCATGGGAAGGAATTAATACGAAGAGATGATACCTTACGCATAGAGGTTAGTTGAATTGGGGCAATATAACAATAAATAAATAATATTAAAATGGTATATGGCAGAGTGTGCCAGCTAATAAGAACTGAAGAATACACGTGCAAGGTCGTCTGAGAGAGAGTCCTATCAAATCATTGGGTCACGGTGGCCGCTGAGCTTAGCCACACACAGACATATACAAATATGGAAGAGTGAGTTCATGCACTCACTCTGAGAATTGAGGTGTCACCAGACCAACTATTCCTTTTCCATCCTTTATAATTTCTCATCACTACTCTCTCACCCGTGATCTTCCTCCTACTTCTTCCCCACCAAAATTTATCCTTTTCTTTTACTGTTTGTCTCATCCCACCTCTCTGTTGCTTAATAACCAATGTTTTTAACATTGGCCATGATTAATTCCATTAAACATATATATTCTAGCTGTCACATCCTAGATTGAACAAAGTAGAAATTACCCAACTGCATGGATTTATATTTATATTTTACGTAAATGTTGTGCAAACCTGCACCTTTTTTTTTTTTTTTTTTTTTTTAAAGGTATGGTAATTGATCACCTTTGATACTATTCGAACTCAAGACTGGGGGAACGCTTTTAACCATGCACCCCTTTATCCATCGGATCATACAAGTTTAAGATTTACTCAGATTTTATTTACCCAAAACATATCTACTAGGTTAAATTTTAAAAGGATCCAAGATGAATATGCACTTTTGAGGCGGATATAACTTATCACCTTCTAAAATTACATTTACCAAAAATGTATCTATGTTATGTATAAAACAAATAAACAGTATAAAAACAAGCAGAGTTACATTTTAAGGTAGCTACATGTGTCTAAAAGAAATTATAAAATTTAAGCTGAAAAGCCTAGTGTATGAAAGTATCTTCTTCTCCATTTTGGTGCCAGACTTTTTTACACAATTATGGTCCCCCAAATATTAAGTTGTAATAAATGAAAAATACATGGATGTTGATTGTTCTGAGCTTCATG